CAATAATGCGTTGGTTGTCACTGCGAGAGATCGGGTTATGGAATCCGGAATAGCAAGCTCATGCAGAAGCCAAATATCTTAAGCATCAGGACTAAGGTAAACGAAAGCAAGCTCCTCGGCGCTCACAGAAAGCGATCGGCAAAACTGAAAACCTCCAACTCAGGCTTTGGGGCAATGAAGGAGGCTACAGAGGATAGAGCTGCAGTTAGCCAATATTTTTGTGCTACAACTCAAATTATTGGTTGGGAATCATTAGCTCTAGGTTAAACTGGGAGTGAATGAGATTCATCTGAGGAGACGGCGTAGAAGTGCAATCTTCCTACTCCCCCTTGCGCGCAGTTCCTACAACTCAGGCTTGCTGACGGAAGGTATTGAACAAAGATTGGCAAGGCTACGGCAGCTAAGTGCTCCTTCTCGAAAAAACTTAATTTATTTGCATGCCTCTTGATTTCTAGATTGGGCCTGTGCAGCCTGAAGTAATCCTACATATGCTATGGGTGACCAACTGGAAGGCGCGCATGCGGCCTTAGCTGCGAGCTAAGAAGACTAATGTTCCCACACGCTAAGAGGGTTTAAAATCTATGCTTTCTCTACTTTTGCGGCGAAGCACTACTACTTGAGCATGCCCTACTGGGAAATCAAGACAAAGAGGCGACTAGATGATTTCCATATTCCGTGTTCGCTCTGCAGGGCCCATTTGCGCAAAACGCACGAGCATGCTGCAAGGGCCATGGCACAGTGGGGAAGCTCTCAAGCTTCTTCTGCTGTCCTGAGACCTTTTCCGCAGCACCACATGTGCACTGTAGTGCCCATATTGCTAGCAGATGAGGCCTTGAAATTCTCCTAATCTCGGCCTTTGCTAGCCATCCCTTTCCTGAGAGCACGTTGAATGATCTGAATATGCAGTTCATTTTGGACTGTAGAAGGTCAAGAGTCAGGATAGTACCAACGACGTTGGCGACAGACTTCGGAAGTATATCCATTTCATCTAACTTCCCTGTTCTAACTGTGTCATCGTTTACAGAGCCCCTCAGTTTATTGTACAGCATGTCTGAGGGCTTCAAGTCTTCCCCAGGAGTATTATCATGGATAGGCTTCTTAATTTGAATAGTGCGCTTTGGCGTGCTTTTATGACCAGCTCATAAACAGTCATGATACGACCATTGTAAGGCACCGTGAGTAGATGGACAAGCCGAGCGCCCCAAACCAAATTCTTATGCTGTAGGTTCATCTCCTTGGCTTGAATTTTGTTCCTATGCTGAGTGGGTTTAGACTACGCCAGTACACTCGTCTAGCAGTTGATACTTCCCGTCCTGGTATTTTCTTACGGGTACATTTCGGTTCATAACGTGAACGTGACAGTCCGGGGTCAGCAGCCAGCCTTGGGATGGCCATGCAAAGGCTAGTATTGTAAGAGCTGCGGGGCTTTAGCTGCTGAAAATCTGGGCATGGTTTGTTTCAAAGAATACCTGGTCAGGGCACGCGCAAATACCTGCGCAAGGTTCAAGCGAGACCAATACGTGACTACGATTGGTGGCTGCTGGCTACGTCTTTGTGGAGCCTGGAATTCGGTCCTGGGGAACAGGCAGGCTCCACAATGTGCAGCAGCAAGACCAGACGGAGACGCTGGCGGGCAGGTGGTTACGACTATTTGCCATCTTCTTGCGAATCAGTGCGGTTTTGTATTTTTCGAATTCTCTAGAAGGCACAGCTAGTACTGAACTATGAATATTGGCTTCCTGAGGAAGTTTAAAAAGTTCCTGAATAATTCATGGAATTCGCCATGCAGACAAGGAACCTTTGTAGGGGCAGAAGATTTACAGGCAGCCATAGAAGCGCTAAATTGTGGGAATATCAAGCGCTGTGAATATGGTAGACGGAAGTTTGTAGTATATTGATAAGGACAGCGCGAATCTCAGCTATCTACTGAGGAGCAATAGCGACCTTCATTGCCTGCGGGAGAATTCACTGGTCTGCTTGGTTAACAGTGTTAGTCCCCACAGGTGTATTCCTCGCGCACCTTGTCTTTCCTAAGTGCATGCTCTATTGTAGACAGCTAACTTCACGTATGGGTACTGCTTCAAAAGCTGACGGCTTTTTGTGGGTAAAAATATTCTCTATACTCAAATATATGCACAGTCGCTATGGGGGGTGGTGTGTCTGTATTCTTCTTCATGCCTTTCGTGAGTTTTGACCGACTGTGCTGCACGCACCTACGGCATCGGCGTCCAGAAATCGCTCCAAGCTGCAAAGGGGCTGATAAGATAGTGTGTGTTTGATTCCTGTATATATTTTGCATGCTTTCTTCTGTGTCGAAGCAACAGGCTCACAACCTTTGCGCTTCAACATCAGCGAGCCATCGCGTCGCCGCGGTTGTGTTGATATAAGCCCTCGTCTCCTGTTACCTAGTGATTTGCCTTTCTTCCTGTCGACATTCCTTTAGCGACTGGTGCCCACTTTGTCTCTCATCTGCAGGGTTTTCTCGTTTGGCCTGCCTGGGGTGTGCAGGCAGGACTGGACTCGTCCATTGTCGTGCATGCAGTTCGTCTCGGCGTAGAGGTATGGAGCGACGGCATGCAGTTTAAATGCGGGGGAAGGTGTAGTGCGCCATGCTGCACTTAGGCGTCCTTTACCAAGCTAGTTATATTTTGCTGAAAGTTAGTGAAATTTACTAACTTGGTTCTGTGTTCATATATATTAGTTTTGAGAGTACTGCTAGGTCAATACAACAAGACGCGAAGGCACGCGTGTGTGGTAGATATGGTGTGGAGTAAACTGTGAAGGCATGGAACGCTTAAAGTGTGCAGCCATAAGCACCCTTGTTGTCCCTCTGAACTCATTTAGAGAACTGTGAGGGGAGAGGGCAGAGAAAGGCATGAGCTCTTCTGCAAACCTACAATAAGTCACTATTAAGCTTGAATCGAATTAGGAGTTTTGTGCCCCACTGAGAAGACCCTGAAGAGTGTGTTTCGACGAGCATTCACAGCTTCTTGCATATTGCTTATGGCGCATTCTCACATAGCATTTTTTCTTGTTTTATCTAGCTAGTTTTATATTATTATCACAAATAAATTCATGAGGTATTAATTTGCTGGTTCGTATATTTTATTTTTGCGAAGTACTAACTAGTCTAGTAGAAAGTACCCACGTGTAGCCTAGACGTCTCTGTGACAGGCCTTTCAGCGCTGGTAGGTTCTGAAACAGATGCGTTTCCCATTTCTCCGGGCATCCGAATTTCTATCTGGCTGAATACTTTTTGCGTGTTTCATTCAGTACATTGCCATTAGATATTAAAGTGTGCTCGAACCCTTGTATCCTTGTTAACAGGAGGTACTATTCAGGTAGTACTAGGTAGTTTTGCTAGTGATGTCGCTTTACACGAAACCAGTTTTGTGCATTCCATCCGCTTTTAAAATAATGGGCTATCCAAAGGCAGGAATGAGTCGCTGGATTGCAAGTAGCTCGTTCGAATACTGTAGTTTTCCACCTGGGTAATGAGACATTCCAATATAACGCCGTTTGCCCGTCGGCCCAGCGCGTACTTGGAGAAACAGCTCAGCGTTATACTATGGTGTTACTTTTTATTTCGAGTGTCTGTAGTTAGGAGGAATGGAAACGGTTGAAATTTCGTAACACTTCCACCACGGCTCCAGCCCCGTGCGTCTTCTCCGCTGTCGCGCTGCCTCGTAAGCGACAGCCCTACATTGCCTTTGCCCCCCTTCAATCCATTGTCTTTCTGTACTTGTAATCATTTCCCCCATCGGTGTTCAGTGACCAGATGCACGGCAACCCACTAGCGCCGCCAGCACGCTGACACCAGGCGAAGAGAGATGGTTATGGCAAACAGTGCAGCAAACACTCAGGGCAACAGTAGAGGCAGGGCGTGCCCTGCCGCTTCCTTAAAACCATCAAACCTGTCTACCCTTTGTTCAAGCCCATCCACAGTCTCTTTTGGCCTCAACGACCGCACTTCTGCCAAGCATCCCTCACGAGTTGTGTCTCCAGTCAAAGCCTCTTCTTCCTCCAGCAGCGCTTTCCCTCTGTGGCATTTTCTGCATCTCGTGGCTCTCACGGGCTTTTTGGCTTCCGTGGCCTCTGTATTGGGAAAGCTTGCCTGCGATTTTGGCCCGGGTGCACCACTTCAGCTCCTTTCTGACAGTCTCCTTCATCGACTCGTGCCTCAACAAAGCACAAGCAGCGACCGCTTGTTGCTTAGAGTAGGCGAGGACTGTAGCCTTGAGGCCTTCGAAACCAGACCCGGCGGCTTTCCTGCACTGGTCACTGAAACAGGGCGGGCGCTGCTTCTTGCCATTTCCTTCCACGACTGCAGCACCAGCAGTGGCAACGGTCAGGGTGAACCCTCTGGATCGCCTTCTCAAGTTGGAGCTTGCATCTGGGGGCTGCTTTGCTTTTTCAGCCTGGTGCTGCTCTGCCGTATCTCGCTGTTCTTGTGTATGCTGGGCTGCAATGCGCTTATGCTGCAGTTCCATGTAAAGTGCCTAGTAGCAGCACCTTCTTCATGCAGCAGTAGCGTCTCTATTTTTGCAGCAAATTTCCTTTGCTCAGTGGTGCTTTCGTGGCTTCTGCTAGGGGAGCAGCTAACTTTGCAGTTTCTTCTGGGGGCTGTTTGCATGCTCTTGGGAGTAGCGCTGTTGTCTCTCACCAAGGACGCTTCTCCTTTGGAGAACCAGGAGGACAAGAAGCGACTTTAAGCCGTCAGCGACACTTTTTCTAGCCTGCAGGACTCACACCTTTGTCCCTTGGTGCTTTGCATAGTGCCACGAATGGCTGACACTATGGAGCTACCTGGTGGCGTCTGCGATGTCGGCAGCAGCAGCACGACGCGCAATGGGAGTGAAGATTTGTGCGTATCCTCACAGGAACTCCTTGAGGGGGTCCATAAGAAGGGCTGCACCAACAGCAACATTGTGGATCTGCCTTCCCTGGCAAAAGATGCGGAAGCCTTCTCCTGCTCAGAAGGGCGGGTGGAGGCTTCTACGATGGAAGGAGAGGCAACAAGTCCTTCAGCAGACAGTATTCGAGAAGAGGGCCTGAAGGCCTTTAGGGCAGGGGACTGGCGGGGAGCCACGGACGCCTGGAGCCGTGGTCTCCGAACTTTAGAATACATTTTAGGGAAGGAGGAAGAATTCGACGAGGCAAAAAAGCAGGAGTTCATCGCTGTACGCTCGCTCATCTGTTGTGGGCCCTTCCTACTTGCCTTTAAGCCCTTGCACTTCTCTCCCTACTTCTTAAGATCTTTTTACAAATTTTCTTTTTATGCTCAATGCAAACAGCCAATTCCGCCCCTGCTCCCTTTCCTTTCCTTTCCCCCCCGACGCGAGGCATGTACCACCCCTACGACTGCTACCTCCACATAGAAGGGCTCGTGGAACTCTATGTAGAGGCTGACGCGTGTAGGCACTGTAAAATTGCAAGCACATCGACAGATCTATATTTGCATGGATGATATGCATGGTTTGCCTCACTTCGCTTACCCTAAGAGCGTCCTGGAGGCCTTCGTGCACGTGTGCTCCTTGGTATTATGCGCCTCTGCAGATGCACCAGTCCTATTTGCTGAATTTGTCCCTTTCCACCCTTAAGGAAGGCCGCTGGGCGGCCTGCATCCATTACTGTGACAAGGTCCTACAGCGCGACCCCACAGTGCTCAAGGCTCTATACAGAAAATCCCAGGTATGCAATTCGCGGCCGCAGACGCCTGAGTAACTGCGAAAAGCCGATGTGGACTGCCCGCTAAGAATATGCACGGTGCTGCTTGGAGGTGGAAGTTCTTAAAGCCGCGTCCTACACGTGAAGCTGTAATTTTTTCTCCTTGGTGCTTGCAGGCCCAGCAAGAGCTGGGGGACTTCGATGGTGCCCTGACCACCCTAGATGAGTACCTCAAGGTGGCTCCAGGCAGCCCCCTTGCGTTGTCTCTGCAGTCTCAACTGCGGCATATGAAAGTAGATCATGCGGCTAAGGAGAAGAAATTGCTGCAAAGCATGTTTCGCAAACTGGAGCACGACCCACGGTCCGAGGCAGCTATGGCTGCTCCTACTGCGGATGGATCCAGTACCGGCGGGAGCTTAATACGGTCTTTAGGAGACAAGGTCAAGGGTTGGTTTGGAAGCCCTAAAGAGGAGCAAAAGCAGGAGTGGCAAGAGCAGCTTCCTGCCGTGAACGGTGCCTTTGGCGCTGCTGCAGCCGCAGGAGCCGCATCAGGAGGCAACTCTTGCTCTACGGGGGAGTCCCTTCCTCCAGAAGACCTATTGAAGGCCTTGTCTGCCTTGTCAGGGAACGACGAGGGACTATCGCCTGCGGCTTCTGGGAACACAGCAGAGCTTGAGCACCTGGCTAGACTGATGGCGATACATCGGAGGCTGAGCTCGGGAGAAGCTACCCTTGGAGAGAAGCTGTTGTTCGGTCTGCGGCTCGCGTGGTTTGGGGTCAAGCATTTCTGCTTTAGAGCTTGCGGGCAGCTGTGCAGGAGAAGGCAGAAAGCGCAGTTTGGTAAATCTGCAGGCATTTTTACGGACGACGGGAATGTCACTGAAGTGGTGGGGTCTGAAAGAGATGCTACTGCCGAGCACAGAGACAACGGAAGGTCTTTTGTGAGCAGGGCGCAACGCAGGCAGCAGTGCCGCACCGCCGCAGCGGCTGCTGCGAGAAGGCGTATGGACCAGCAGAAGTCGACTACCTGAAGGGTGGTTTCCGGAAGGGTTGAAGACCTTTATGAATCGAGAGCAGGAGACATCTAAGAAGCTTGGGGTGGCGGGTTGCACGGGTTTACGCTCTTCTGCATCAGTAGTCGCCATTAACGTGGAGACGGCATTCCACGGATACAACTGGCCTCATTGGCGTTGCAGTGACGGCTTGATAGAAGTGTGTTGCCCTGAGTTTCCTTACCTGGGTACGATAAAACAGGCAAAAGGTTTTCAAGCGGCTCGTTTACCCAACTCTGGGTTTTCCTGTTTCTTCTCTTACGCAACTCTTCACTGCTCCTACGACGAACGAATGTGCCAGCTGTCCGCATATTCTGGGGTTGGTTCCCACTCCGGGGTCGCACCCCCAGAGGCATCTCGACGCGTTTTGGTGTAAACATCACATCCCACCCGCGTTTACCAGCGTGTTCTTGAGGGGCCTTCAGGGGCGGGATGTGAGTTTTGAGCCACGTTTTTGCTACCACTATACAGCTCCATCAAAATCTCTTTAAGGAAAGAGTACGCTGCTCGGGAGTCATAATGCTCTTTAAATCACCCCATTTGGTAGTTAGTTTGTGCCCAATTAAACTGGTTAAACTGATCACGTTTCACTTCATGGGAGCTCAGTTATTCACTCGAAGACTAACCGTTTCCTGCATACCCATTGGTCGCTGGGCTAACCCGTGCTGCAAGGCCCACCTACTGTAAAAGCCCTTGCCCTGTTCTGAAGCCGTTGCTACAAAGTAACAAACCAAGCCTTCATGTGTAGTACATCTCTGTCGGGAACTGCCAGCTGTTAGGGCAACCTTTACCTCCCGATTAATCCCCCACGTATGAAACCAGTTCAACGATTATGGTCGAACCAGATCATAAAATTGGGTCAGGCTCCACTGGCTACCCACTGTGGCAACATAGGCACTGGTTAGCACACAGGGATGCGAACTGTGCTCTGACGGGCTACAATGAGACCTTCAAGAATCAGCGGACATCTCAGTATCGGGCGGACGCCGCAGCGAAAAGTACCAGCGCCACGAAATTCGGCTAGCTGCTTCCTAACAAAACTAATAGGGGTTGGTGATGCTGGTGGGAGGTATGGCCGCTGATGTTCGCTAGAGCTCTTCGGCGGAGGCATTAGGCTGCACACTGAGCTCCTCCAAATCCAAAGAGGGCTCTGGGTCGAGCTCTGCATCGAAGCTAAGCCCCTCAATATCATCAATTTCTACGGCTGCGTAGTTGGAGCCAGCATTAAAGGTAACTAGATAATCCTGGGGGTTTCCCTTTAGCGTGCCAATGCGTTTACGATGGTAGAGGCGAAGGCGGAACTGCTGCTTTATCCACTCGTTGATAATTTTCAAGCGATTTCCCAGCTCGTCCTCTGACAGATCATCTTCCTTCACCCTAGGCTGCTCTGCGTATTCCGCGACAAGGTCCTCAGCAGTCAGCAAAAACCGCCGTGGCACAGGGTCGCCTTTGTGCTCATGTTGCCTCCTCGCAAGTGCCCTTTCTTTATCCCACACGTGCTTGTCCGCAGCCTCGCGCAACTCCACAAACATTGAAGGAACCTGCAGTGCCACTGGAGGCATTCTAGTGGCGTCATAAGCTCGCCGCAGCAGCTTAGAATCGGCTGGTGCCTTCTTTGGACCGCTCAGGAGGCTACGGTATATAGCTTCATTTATGCATTCCAGAGCGCCGTGATATTTGGGCCTACGAGCAAAGACAGAGCGATACCGCATCACTCTAGCGTGTTCTGCCAAGCGGCCTATCTGCAGGAAGAATCAAAGACTTAATATTCAGTCAGCATGGAGAAGGCGTAACCGGAAGTGCAACTCAGCTTACGCAGTCTGCAGGCGTGGGACAAAAATTTTGTCAACGAGTTCATGCAACTTTTGTGATTCCTCAGCATGCTCAGCTAGAGGATGATCTACATCCTATAGGCACCAAACACACCGCACTAGAAAAGGTTTCTTCACACCTAGAACAAAACGCAGAGGAGCTGCCCACAACAGAGACAATCCACAACTAATAAAGATCTCATGAGCTCCCTATAAAACTTTCGCACACATCTCACACTGCTAGACGAACGCTAATTCTTTGATGAGGACAAAACACGATTCTTACCTGGCCAAAGGATTCCAGAAAGGACGATAAAATTTTGTTAAGCTGTGTCCTGGCTTGCGACTGCGAATCAATGATATTTTTCTTACGTGCTGCAGAGCCCCTCAAAGAATTGGACGCTTGACTCGCATCCTTCTCCGTTCCTTGCTCTGCGCTTTCACCACCCTCCTGAGACTTATCGGGAGCCTCTATTTCTGCATCTCCTGTCGGCCCTGCGCCGGAAATGCCGTCGTCCCCTTTTTCGCGTGACTCGTCTTCCACGTAATCTTCATCGCCAGGGAACTCCTGGGCGTTCGCTACACAGAGTCCGAAGGTGCATGTACTGTTCATCAGCCCAACTGGACAGTTGGAGTCCCAGGATATCAGGGGGACACTAGCAGTAAGGAGAGCCACCACAACACGGCATCGCACGAGCTTTGAGACAGTCATTGCTCCGGGAGAACAGCTTAAATAAACCTTTGAAGCACGCGTCGAAGCAGTTGGAGGGGGAAGGAACCGATCTAGAACGCCCCTCTCCAGGGCCTCGCACGGTCGAGCGAAGACGGGGGAGGAGAGGCTGATGTAGCGGTAGATGAGCCTCAGCGGGAGGAAGCAAAGACCACTGTCAACGCATAATGCTGTTTCCAAAAAACACGAATTCTGAGGAAACACTGCTGCCCCAGCACGGGGGTCCGAGTGACTAGCATTCGGTGTCCCGGTAAGCCTTCTTCGCTGCTAAAAGGAATGAGACGAGGAACTGGCAAGTCCTGTTGGTGCCCCCTCGTCTTGTATCAACACTCTCTATTGGTGTTTATGGACAGTGTATAGCAGGAGAAATAAGCCTCTTGAGCCACTCGGCACTACCCAAGAGTGCTATAGGGGTAGCTGCCAATGCAATCGCTCTCGTAACCAGTGCACTACAAGGGAAGGGAACCCACCAAGAACATGGCCAATCCCCACTAAAATACGGCAATGTCTTAATTTTATTATAAACTGATAAGTTCGGAAACACTGACTTCGATGTCAGCCAAGCTCTAGCTCATTGCACTGCCTTGACTGAAAAGCTGCATCCCCCATGGGCATCGGCATGTGTTCAGCACCATTTGTCGATAGCGCAAGGCATGGATCGAAACCAGTTGTTCACATCCTTTTCTTCACAGATATATTAAAATAATTCCAAAGGGTTTAGTGTACTAGACGTCGTAGTCAGCAAGTCACAAGCAATGCAGTTTAGAATGCCATTGGGATTGCAATGCGAGCGTACGCATTACCCTAGCGGATCTTTGCTTTGTAGTATTTTGAATTAAAATTCCACTGCCCTATCTTTTATAGCTTCAAGTGACAGACTTCAAGCAGCTTCAGAATTGCCCTAGGCGGCCTGCTGTGTGAGGAAGTGCTCGGGGGTTCCTAGTTGCTGATGACTCCAGAAGCTACCCGTTGATCAGCTAACTGCTAGGACTACACGCCGCACTTGCTCGCCGTTATCCCCTGATGTTCGTAACGCTGGGTCTTTATATACAGGGTAGTACGTCCCACGTTAGCAGACAGCAAAAACGAACTTGTGTTAGAAATAAACTATCAGCCTGCCTCGCAAATTCATGCAATTGATGCTCTTTCTGTCAATTTGCTAAAGCTTGCTGCTTGTACATGTTGATGGCTTGTTCTCACAGGCAAGCTCACCCAGAAGAAAAGGTGAAACTCGAACAGCCTTGCACTAAAAATAAGGTAGCGCGTCCAACCGACCTGCACCAGAAGCCGGAAGGGCATGAGCGGGTGACGTTGTCATATGCTGCCCTCTGTAGTGCAGAAGTAATTTAATCTTTTGTCAGCGAATCGAAGTCTTGTGCATCAAGACGCAGGGAAGGGTGGAACAGACGCATGTACAATGGCAAGAAAATGTTTGTAAATCTTTGGACAAAATGAAAAGAAAATTGAAAAGCAGGCATTATTTTGCAGGCCACGACTTGACTCCGTACAGGATATTTGTGCGAACGAAATTATCTTACGAAGAATTTATAATATCCTTCAGAGCGAAGAAAGTCGGCAGCCATATATGACTTAGGTTCACGCGGGCCGTCGTTGTAGGGAGACCGTTCAACACGATAAGGCCCGCCGTATGACTTACTTTACCGATTTGGGGGAGCACATAGTAATTGAGACTAAACAACTTTATATGCAGAAACTCTTAAAGTTGTTGTGGGGCTGATACTGGTCGGCTATGGGACAGCAGGAAACCAGAAAAGAAAGATAGAGGGGCACTGAAGGGCACTGCTGAAGGCGGTATACCACTGAAAACACTCGACCAAGCTACTGGGGGTTTCGCTTTTGGAGATATTCAGTCTTCTCTAAGAGGCTCTGTATGACGCTGTTAGTCGCGCTGCGCAAATCCGGTATTTTACATTTTACACGTAGAAAAAAAGCCAGCTGCTTTTCCCCAGTACGGAGGTATTGAGGCTCTGAGATGGCTCTCTACAAGTATGAAGTGCCGGAAAACCAGTATAATGTGTTACTCTTGTAGCATAGGAGCATTTCGAGGAATGTGGAGGCAGAGGCATGAGCAAAGTCCGCACACATCAAAATAAGAAAGCACTGCAACCACACGAACGTTAGTGCGATGGGCGCTTCCTAAGTATGCGTTGCGGATGTGGGGGAGTAAACTGCTCTACTTGACGAGATCGGCGGTAGGGGTTAACTGCTGGGCCGATGCCGAGTACACGCGGCTCATGATTATTGGTGGTGGTGAGTCGCCTTCCCCAGCGATTGGCTTCGGCCGCCAGTGCTTGTCTTTCTGAAGCATCCAAGGAAGCTGATTCGGAAACCATGGTGACCTGTTCTTCCCGTATAGGGGTCGAGGTGGCAGAAAGGGAGCGCCACCATGTCGGCGAAATAATAATGTTGCCTCCATAGGATAAATGCAGCTCGTTTTTTGATATCTCTCCTGATGCCTCTGCATTTGCATTGTCTTCATCTGCAGTTCCGAGGACGCTGCGTCCACGAATATATCCCATAACGGCGTGCGACATCTCATTTCGCGCTTTCTGTGGAGCAGGCTTGTGAGTCAATCCTGGTTTAATTTGTCCCAAGATAAAGTTCGCACTACGCAAGGCATCGAAAACGTGCTTGCTCAATGGCTCAGAAGAACCACCAGGTTGCTGCTTCAAGTTCTGTTCATCGGTTTCCTCAGCCTTCAGAGGCGGTAGGCCCTGGTTCTGCGCACGCTGGCTTGCGCGAACTAATGGCCGTTTGCTGAAATAAAAGGCAGAGTTAGCATGGATTCCGAGTAATTTAGACCTCTTACGAGCAGAAGCTCTTACTCCTTGAGTGAACTGAGGATTGGGCGTAGCTGAGGTCAATGCACCGCATTGCACCTCGCTCGTAGGCGGCGCATATCCTGGTGCCTCACAGTAACTCCTTTGTTTTATATGCTGCGCGTAGATTTCACCTGGATCTGTGGGCTTTGCTTCTACTGAAGCCTCTCCGCTGAAAATCGAACGGAGGGGGGTCAGAGCAGAATGCGGCTTTTCTTGATTCACTGTTTTCTCGAGAGTGATCCCACATCCGGACGAAAAGATAGTGGGTCTATATACATCATTTTGCTCCATGGGCTTCAGTGGCTCTTTGTTTGCAGCCTCTGAGTGATTCCCAGATCGAATTACGTTGTGCTTGCTGCCTTCATGTGTGAAGAGGCTTCGGTTGTTAACATCGCCTGGATGTGGCGTCTTCTCAGGGGGATTGTAGGATAGATCATCCGGTTCAGACTCCTCAGTGCACTGCGGAGGGGATAGCAGATTATTTGATATGCTTAGGCCCCCGGATATTTTACGCTGAGGTGTAGAGGACAATGTGCATTCCCGAATGAAGGGTCCGTGAGCAACAGAGAGTTCTGAAACCTTCGAAATAGCGCAGGGGCTCACTTTTGAATCACTCTTCCAATCCAGCAAAGAACGTTTATGCTGGGGAAGAACGGGTTTCGTAGTGCCAGCACCTGGCTTTCCGCAAGCTTCTGTATTGGAAAGGGCGTTTATTGTACGCTTTCTCTCAAGACGCTTTGTAGGAGCAAAAGTGCTGGTAGATTGCTTTTCCACTGACGATGAGGGTTCCATGGACGCCTTTCCATCTTGGCCTGTAACAGATGTTACCGATTTCTCCAAGCTGTGCTTTGGCCGCAGAGGAGTGGTCGTTTTGTTCGTGCGCCCTGCAAAATTATGCGTGCAACGCAGCAATACAATACTACTTGTGGATATTGCAGCTCTTGCATCAAAGGCATTGTAGCTAAAATGATGGTTACATACCTTGAGACTTCGCTGGTTTTACGGTAAAACGCGTTACTGGAGGATGGGGAAGCCGATGGAAGGAATCTTGACTGCCTCCTTCGGAATAGACAGGCGCGCCTTCATTCTCCATATTTGGATTCTCAATCGCTTGCGACGAACGAAGGAGCTTTTCGGATTTCACTCCACCTCCTCCTTCTTTGCCTAGTCCAGATATAGCATCCCTTTTCATACGACGCACAATCGACGCGGCGTGTACCCACGTCCTTACTTCCCGGCCTCGCCATGCTGCTTGCACTTGGACTGCCTGTTAGAATCCACAAAGTCCACAGTCGCACACTCAAACACACTGTCCAACAGAAATTGAACATTAGATGAAAGTGTTGTCTCTCAACATCCCTCTACGGTCAAAATGGACAGATGCTCACCATGCTTTCTTCCAGAGTGGTGAAAATCTTTTTCGGGGTTATGCGTTGCTTCGTTGCTGAATGAGCTGCCATACGTGAAGGGTCAAGGAGAAACGACTTCCGTGCCAGGCCTCGCTTTGATCTGATACCTTCTTTAGAGTAGGAAGCAATCAATGAGGGTGGGGGTGGTGGTGACTGAGTACTTGTAAAGATACTAGGAGTCAACCCGGCACTACTTGGCTTCGGTTCCCTGCAGATCATTTCAGAACGAAGCCACTGTGGCTCTGCACCAGCATCACCAGCCTTTTTCCATGCATGTACATTTTCTCCAATCAGCACTTTTTTTCGTGGAAGCGCACCATCGAGCCCAGTTGTGGAAGCTAAGGGCTCGTCAAGGGCGACCAAACGAGGCAGGCTGACAAGAGGGATCGAATCAGTAGGTCTGGAATGCAGCGAACCCTGGTCCCGCACTGGAGCGCCTGTCACTTGGTTCAGATTATTGTATCCCTGACTGCCATGGCGTGCAGGCCATGCAACAACAGGTGCGTCGGGTCGCTGCTTCAGCGACTGAGGGGACACGGATGGCCTGGGTGCCACCTTGCGTGCAAGCTTCTTGGACTCTGCAGTGCGTGTTTGAGACCCCTTCAGCTGATCTTTGCCAAATGGTGACACCACTTCCTCCATACACCGAGGGATATCGTATGCAGCAAGAGCTGAACAATGGGCGCCTGGATGTGGAAACGGTGAACCGGATGAAGGCTTCTCGATTTCC